TGCAACATTTCACTGGAGCAAGACACCCTGCTTGGTGCTGGCTGCAATACAAGCTTCCCTGTCAAGATAAATGACATGACACTGAAATACAACCACAACCCTTTCTAGGCAATGAGAATGAAGGAAATGATTATCTAAACAGTAATCATTTCCAGCAGCCGCCTGTTCTTTCCCCAGTGGATCATGATTCAAATGTGCCATACAACATATCAGTTGATCGAATCCTTCTCTGCAGCACTTCTCAGATGAATGTCCTGCAACATGTCACTTACAACTAAGAGAACAGCATGAAGAATGTCCTTTGTTTTTGTGAGAATTGATAATGCCCTTGTATTTGATAGAGGTCATGTGTTGAGCTGAACACGAATTATTGTCAAAAATTTCATCCTTTCTATATGGTTGATGTCTTGTATGATTCTTAATTGTAGATAAAGGATAGGATTCATTGCTTAATACCAACAGATGGCAAGACGCTCGAGGTCAATGATAAGAGCAGTGATTTTTTGAATTTTGAATTTAGTATTTTTCTGATGTGAAAATGTAGTAGCTAATAGTACTATAGAATGTTATGTAATAATATTTCTTCAATTCTTATACAAGTTGTTGTACGAGGATCATTGGCAAATATATCAATCATATTGAAGAGATACATATATGGTGCTTGTTGTACCTTATTTATATGATAATGAATAATGATCTAGCATTTTCCTTCATCATAGTCTTCATCATAGACATTATATCTCCACGCATAGAGAGTGCCTTATGATCCCTGTTGGATTGAACCCATACACATTTGATGCATTTCTTGGAACAGCTCCTCATTACCTTCGGCAAAAACTTTGAGATCCTTCATGAGGATATCTAACGCCTTGGAGTGACAATTGCTGTCAAGAATGAACCAAAAACATGCAGAACATGGTATTTTTTTTAAAGATTGTTTATGTATAGATTATAAGAAGCTTCAAAAAATGTTCTCACTTGTCAATGGCCTCAAGGAAATTTTGCTTTTTGATCTGGAAATAGATATTCGTCGCGTAGCGATTGTTATTTCTATTTCATATTGACATATTGGAGACATCAAATCAGGTTGAGAGGAAAAATGTGAGGGTCTTTTTTTGAAGAATTAAACTTAGTTTACCTCGACTGCAAAATGGTTCTTTTTCATTGCTCGTTAGTTTGGCTCCAGCTCTTCAGTTAACTGCATCTAGAATATTGGGTTTGATCATTATTTCATCCCTTTCAATTTGCTTCTCTGTTTTTCCCACCCAGCAGCACCCCACACAAAAATTTGCAGGGCCAAAATGACGTCGTTAAATAACAGAAGTCACATTAGAGTAGAAGCCATGTCTGAAAGCAATTGTAGTTTCCAATATGCATCAGCACCAGAAGAAACTAGCACATTCACAGTGTTCAAGAAGGCAAGGCTAGTGGCTCTTTTGGCGTGACCCTCAAGCTTCCTTGTAACCTGCAAAATATATAAATCAAGGCAATGACAAACTTTTCGGGTTTGCTTCATCACAACATCGAGCATGATTTGTTTTTTTTTTTTTTACAATAATAAACAAACTACCTCATTTGAGTGGAGATTGTATCGGTTGGTGCCACAGGAAAAGCCCAGAAATCACAATAACTTATATTTGATAGCTTTATAGGATTTATGGTAAATATGAGACCAGCTTATTTCTGAAGACATTATCATGTGATTCTTTTGCATTCTGTTTTTCTTTTTCTGGGTGGTGCCTTCAGATAAACAGCACAGAAAATAGATCAGTGCTTCATGTAGCTCTTCATGCTCCAAGGGATGCAGTTATACAGAGTGATGGGAAAAATGTGGTCCTTGATGTTTGGGAAGTTCTGGACAAGATCCATTTCTGAGAGTTTTCGAAGTGGATTTTGGGTAATCACTACAATTTTTTTTAGTGTCCATATTGCCTGAATTGTGAAGTAATTGGCAATTCTGGTAGGTTGGTGCCACAGGAAAAGCCCTGAAGGATGTCATTGCTGTTGGTATCGGTGGCAGCTTCTTAGGTCCTCTTTAAAAAATAAAAATAAAAATAAAAATAAAAAGGTATAGCCGCCCGGCTTTACCGTTTAAATATATTATTTAAGGAGTTTAGGTTACTTAAACGCTGAAATTCTTGGGTTAAAGGTTTTTTAAAACAGGAGTATTTACTTAAACACTGAAACCTTTGCTTGCTTATTGTTAATTAGCGTAGAGTTTATATTAAAGTACAGGCTGTTTCTAACAGAAGTTATTCATTGGTCATATAGATTACACATCGGAGACATTTCCCTTCAATGAGTAAATCAAAAGCTTTGTTGATTTCTTCAAACCTGATCTCGTGTGTCACAAACTCATCAAGTTGTAGTTCCTGATAGAATGAAAAAACCAAAAATATATATTAAAAGGATATATGTCCAAGGTATATAAGTTAGGCAAACCACCCCTACATAAACAGTTAGATGCTATAAATTACCTTGTCCTTGTATCGATTGATGAGGACAGCGATATCAGATTTAGGTTTGAGTCCTCCAAATAAGGATCCCGTGAGGGTTTTGCCAAAAATGATGTCAAGAGAGGGAAGGGTCACCTGTGAGCCCGGCTTGTCCATGCCTAAAACAACTGTTTTTCCCCAACCCTGAAGTTGAAAAGAAATGTTCAGATATTGTTTTTACCAAAATTTAAACTTGTAGCTATTTTGGCCAAAGTAGGTGGTCTAGGATGGGAATTTCCTCCTTGCGCATATATACCAAGTACATGCAGAATTTTCAAAGTGAAAGTATATTTTCATGATTTTGCTTGGAGATCAAGTTAACATTTCAAGGAAGGGCAAACAGTAGTCTAAGTAGGGATGACAATAGGTCGAATAGGGGGTGAGTATGCCATTCCCATCTCCATCCCCGTCTAAGCTCAAAACTCTTATATAAGCACATCGAACAAACTTTCCAACAGACTTCAACAAATTCCTGAAACACGTTTCTGACATATGTTTCAAAATTACTACCTAGGATGATCGTTCAATGTAAAATAATGCTCAGCATAGACTTCACAAATTATGATATATGTGGTATAGAAACTTCTGATCGATTTATTAATACATACGCGTCACTCTCTCTTCTCCGCCTCTTAATTTTAGTAACCTTGTTGAAATTTCCACTTTGCTAAGTTTTTTATTTTAAAACATAATGATAATTTCTTCTTTTGGGGTCAACTTTGCTAACTTAATTATGTCCCATATGTCAAACTTTCTTGAAAAGGAACAATCTGGTTCTAGTAGTGTTTCTTCAATTAAGTTTATGTAGTTGTACTCTTTTGTTTTTCCGTTTTCCTAATGAGGTTATTGTAGTTAGATTTCAATTACAATCAATGATAAATTTCCTAATTTATTGATGAAAATATCACACGATTCAAGCATGTGATGTAAAGATAGGAACTTAATTGAAATGGAAATCAAACTTTAGAAACATATTTGACGTAAAGATAAAACAAATCAAAAACAGTCGTTCAAATGATAAATTGACATTGAAAGATGTTGCAAATTGGTTCAAAAATCGTGAATTGCCAACCGGGTTTAGACCAGTGAAAAAGAGACATACATAACACTTTCTTGACAGGACCAAATATGTGAGAGAGAGAGAGAGAGAGAGAGAGAGAGAGAGGGGCAGACCTTTCGGCAGCAAGCGTAAGCTTCTTGCACCAGTGATATCAGCCCAACACATTCAAAGCAATAGTCTGCACCCCCGCCAGTCATTTCCTTGATCACCTGCTTCATACATGTAAAAAAAAAACTGTAAATCCTTAGCAAAATAACCAAAAATCAATCAGAAATGAAAGCCGAAGCCACAAAAGCATATCAACATCCAGTAATATAATCTTTTAATTTCAAGAATAAGTGTGCATATGAATACAAAAACAAGTAATGAAATTTCCAAAGTTTGGTGCATAGTTGTAGAGAACCTCGCTCACAGAATTATTCTCACTATTCGCAGGGTCGACAAAGTCAGTGAGCCCAAACTTTTTTCCTGTGTCAATAAGAAAAAGAACAAGTCTGCATTGATCAGATTCAGATTAAGCACATCATACATCAATTCACAGGCACAGCATAAAGTATAATCAAGCTAAGATCCAATTACCAATTTCAAATTTGTCTCGGTTCACATCCACGCCAATAATTCTAGCTGCTCCACAAAGTCTTGCTCCCTCCGCGACCTGGATAATTCAACCATGGATATGAGCCTAGAGTGAGTCAAATATGGACAACGAGGAAAAGAAGTAAAAAGAAAACAAGTTCTGCAAATGCATACAGCTAATCCAATTGAACCCAACCCAAATATAGCAACAGTTGATCCCTTCTCCACCTCTGCTGTTCTCCAAGCAGCACCAACTCCTGAAATCGAATTGAAGAAATAACAATTCAAGTCTAAATTTTGCAAACACCGCCACATCAAGTCAAGAAGAATGTCTACAAGATTAGGAATTTCAAGTCTACCGGTCGATACTCCAC